TACCTGGGGATCAGATCGGTGAGGTAGTTAGGGGCAGTGTTGTGAATGGCCTTATAGGTCAGGGTGAGCAATTTGAATTTAATGCGTTGGGCAATGGGGAGCCAGTGGAGGGAGAGGCAGAGGGGGGGTGGCAGAGGTGGAGCGGCTGGTGAGGTGGATGAGTCTGGCCGCTGAGTTCAGGATGGTCTGAAGCGGGGAGAGCCTGCACTGGGGTAGGCCGGTGAGGAGGGAGTTGCAGTAGTCCAGGCGTGAGATAATCAGGGAGTGTACTAGTAGTTTAGTGGTGTCTGGGGTAAGGAAGGAGCGTATTTTGGCGATGTTCCGGAGGTGGAGCCTGCATGTGTTTGTGAGAGATTTGATATGAGGTTGAAAGGAAAGGTTTGAGTCCAGAATGACTCCAAGGACCTTGGCTTGCTGGGCGGGATTGATGGTGGTGTTGATGGTAGTGATGGAAAGGATGGGGGGGGGGGGGGGGGGGGCGCGGGCTGGGGGGAAGATGAGAAGCTCGGTTTTGGAGAGGTTGAGTTTGAGGAAATGGAGCGACATCCAGTCAGAGATGTCGTTTAGGAGGTGAGTGATGCGGGCGGAGAATGTGGGGGTGAGGTGGGGGGTGGAGAGGTAGATTTGAGTGTCATCAGCATAGAGGTGGTAATTGAAGCCGTGGGAGTGTATGAGTTTGCCAAGGGAGGAGGTGTAGATGGAGAAGAGAAGGGGTCCAAGGACAGAGCCCTGGGGGACCCCAACAGAGAGGGGGAGTGAGGAGGAGGTGGCACCGTTGTAGGAAACGCTGAAGGAGCGTTGGGATAGATAGGACGAGAACCAGGAGAGAGCGGGTGTCTCTGATGCCAAGGGAGAGTAGTTTATTAAGGAGGAGGGGGGTGGTCGACTGTGTCAAAGGCCGCGGAGAGGTCTAGGAGGAGGAGGAGGACAGAGTAGTCGCCTTTGGCGGTTAGTAGATCGTTGGTGATTTTGAGGAGGGCAGTTTCGGTGGAGTGTAGGGGACGGAAGCCGGACTGTAGTGGGTCAAGGAGGTTGTTGTCAGTCAGGTGGGCACTTAGGCGATCGAAGACCAAGCGCTCAAGGAGCTTGGAAGTGAGTGGCAGCAGGGAAATTGGTCTGAGGTTGTTGAAGTCAGTGGGGTCCAGGGAGGGCTTTTTGAGTATGGGGGTGATGTGCGCATGTTTTAGGGGGGAGAAGAAGACGCCAGTAGAGAGGGAGAGATTAAAGATGTGGGTAAGGGAGCGGATGAGGGAAGAGGGGGGGTGACCGGAGGAGTTGAGAGGGGATAGGGTCCAGGGGGCAGGTAGTGAGGCGGGCTTCTGAGAAGACTCTGCTGACTTCCTCAGTGGTAGTAGGGCTGAAGGAGTGCACTTCACCCTGGCCAGTCATGGAAGTCCTGAGAAGAACACTTACCTGTTTGGGTGAAAACAGGTGAAATAGACTTCAGCCCGCCTCCATTTAGGCCACGCCCCCCAAATGCGCTTCACCCTGGCCAGTCAGGAAGGTCCTAAGAAGAGAACACTTACCTATTTGGGTGAAAACTGATGAAATAGACTTCAGCCCGCCTCCATCCAGGCCACGCTCCCCCCCCCCCCCCCCCTATTCTTTTATTTTCTTTTTTATTCCAATGGATTCTATTATTTTCTATTCCTTTATTTTCTATTCTATTTTTTCTGTTTTACTCTATTATTTTCTACTGTATTCTGTTCTATTCTTTTATTTTCTATTCTGATTTGTCCTCTATTTTTTTCTTTTCTATTCCTTTATTTTCTATACTATTTTGTTTTATTATTTTCTACTGTATTCTGTTCTATTCTATTTTCTATTATTTTCTTTTTTTTCCTTTAATCTTTTCTATTCTAGTCTATTCTTTTATTTTCTTTTTTATTCCAATGGATTCTATTCTTTTTTATTCCTTTATTTTCTATTCTATTTTGTTGTGTTTTACTCTATTACTTTCTGCTGTATTCTGTTCTATTCTTTTATGTTCTTTTTTCGGCTATTATATTCTAGTGTATTCTATTCCTTTATTTTCTATTCTATTTTGTTCTGTTTTACTATATTATTTTCCACTGTATTCTGTTCTAGTCTTTTATTTTCTATTCTGTTTTTTCCTCTATTTTTTATTTTCTATTCTATTCTAATGGATTCTATTCTTTTCTATTCCTTTATTTTCTATTCTATTTTGTTTTATTATTTTCTACTGTATTCTGTTCTATTTTTTTATTTTCTATTCTTTTCTTTTTTCCTCTATTCTTCTAGTCTATTCTTTTATATTCTATTCTAATGGATTCTTTTCTTTTTTATTCCATTATTTTCTATTCTCTTTTGTTGTGTTTTACTCTATTATTTTCTACTGTATTCTGTTCTATTCTTTTATTTTCTATTCTGATCTTGTTTCCTCTATTCTATTTGTTTCTTTTCTTTTCTATTCTATTCTTTTCTAGTTCTTTATTTTCTGTTCTATTCTTGTTTTCAAATTCAAATTCGTTTTCTGGATGTTTTTGAATTCGAATCGATTCAAACTTTGCCCAAATTCAAGTTTCGTTATTTCAGATTCATGTAAATGAGTTACTCTACTAATTCAGAATTTGGATACATCCGAATCTGCGAATAGCAGAAAATGTATCCGAATTTCGATGTGGAACAAAACGACCTGCATGTGCCTAGCCCAGATGTATGTAGGAAACAAGAACCCCTCAAAGAAACGTATCTGAAAGGGAAGGAGCCGGCGCTGTACAGGACCTGGAAATGGCGGAACATTTTCAGCGGTGAGTTTTCTAGGGCCGGTTGTGACATGAAAAGGAACATTTGAACGGTTGCTAGGTGAGCGGCTGGATTTTGCCGTGCTCCAGATTTTATAAATAAATTCCCAAGTCTCGCTCGGCGCTCTCTTTACTCGCGTTTTTGCGGACTGGTTATGTATAATGCGGTTTGATTTTACTGGTCGCATGTCACTCGGTAATACGTTGTTGCTTCACGAAAAAAAAACAAAACAGAAAAAAAAAACAATGTGCAGCTTAAAATAATCGCTGAAAATGAAGGCGACATTCACACTTCAGCGACGGCGTCTTTGGCCGCTTTTCCTGCGTTTGCACCCGAGTTTGTTCACGCGTTTTTATTTCAGTCCCTTGTTGCTGGAAGTGGGAGACCATTGTTAGGTGCAACATTGGGCGATGTTACATATGTCTCTTAGATTGTAAGCTCCCAGGATCAGGGCCCTCCTATCCCTCTTGTATTGAACTGTATTGTTGCTGATTTGTCTCCCGTTATATTGTAAAGCGCTGAGCAAACTGTTGGCGCCAGAAATCCTGTATAATAATAATAATAATAATATAAATCCTGTATAATAATAATAATAATAATGTAAATCTTGTATATAATAATAATATAAATCCTGTATTTTAATAATAATAATAATAATAATATAAATCCTGTATAATAATAATAATATAAATCCTGTATAAAAATAATAATAATAATAATAATAATAATAAAATAAATCTTGTATAAAAAATAATAATAATATTAAAATAAATCTTGTATAATAATAATATTATTAATAATAATATAAATCCTGTATTATAATAATAATAATAATATAAATCCTGTGTAATAATAATATTATTAATAATAATATAAATCCTGTATTATAATAATAATAATAATATAAATCATGTATAATAATAATAATAATAATAATAATAATAAAAATCCTGTATAATAATAATAATATAAATCTTGTATAATAATAATAATAATAATGTAAATCCTGTATAAAAATAATAATAATAATAATAATAATAATAATAAAAATAAATCTTGTATAATAATAATAATATAAATCCTGTATAATAATAATAATATAAATCCTGTATAAAAATAATAATAATAATAATAAAAATAAATCTTGTATAATAATAATATAAATCCTGTATATTAATAAGAATATAAATCCTGTATAATATATAATATTAATAATAATAATATAAATCCTGTATATTAATAATAATATAAATCCTGTATAATAATAATATATAATAATAATAATAATAATAATAAATTGTATAATAATAATAATAATAATAATATAAATTCTGTATAAAATAATAATAATAATAATAAAATAATCTTGTGTAATAATAATAATATAAATCCTTGTATATTAATAATAATATAAATCCTGTATAATAATAATAAAAATAAAATAAATCCTGTATAATAATAATAATATAATATGTATTCTATTGGGGGCCACTAATGCGCAATCCCGCCACACCAGAGAAGCCCCCCCCGTACTTTATCTTAGCATCAGTTACTGCACACGGCTCAGGTGTGTACAGACACCATAGAAGAACATGGAGATTTGAGTGTCAAGTGTTTCATCGCTTCAGCAATCACAAGTCTCGCGTCACACCTATGCAGTCTTAGCCATTTCTGCACTATAGTTTGCGTTGCGTTTTTGCGCCTGCACCTCCCTGCACCAGGGAGAGCGGATATAGAGAATGCGGGGTCCGGGGAGAGCAGATATAGTGAATGCGGGGTCCGGGGAGAGCGGGTATAGTGAATGCGGGGTCCGGGGAGAGCGGATATAGTGAATGCGGGGTCCGGGGAGAGTGGATATAGTGAATGCGGGGTCCGGGGGAGAGCGGATATAGTGAATGTGGGGTCCGGGGAGAGCGGATATAGTGAATGCGGGGTCCGGGGGAGAGCGGATATAGTGAATGCGGGGTCCGGGGAGACCGGATATAGTGAATGCGGGGTCCGGGGAGAGCGGGGGAGAGAGGGATATAGTGAATGCGGGGTCCGGGGAGAGTGGATATAGCGAATGCGGGGTCCGGGGGAGAGCGGATATAGTGAACGCGGGGTCCGGGGGAGAGCGAATATAGGGAATGCAGGGTCTGGGGAGAGCGGATACAGTAAATGCGGGGTCCGGGGAGAGCGGATATAGTGAATGCGGGGTCCGGGGGGAGAGCGGATACAGTGAATGCAGGGTCCGGGGAGAGCGGATATAGTGAATGCGGGGTTGGGGAGAGCGGATATAGTGAATGCGGGGTCCGGGGAGAGCGGATATAGTGAATGCGGGGTCCGGAGAGAGCGGATATAGTGAACGCGGGGTCCGGGGGAGAGCGGATGTAGTGAATGCGGGGTCCGGGGAGACCAGATGTAGTGAATGCGGGGTCTGGGGAGAGCGGATGTAGTGAATGCGGGGTCCGGGGAGAGCGGATGTAGTGAATGCGGGGTCCGGGGAGAGGGGATGTAGTGAATGCGGGGTCCGGGGAGAATGGATATAGTGAATGCGGGGTCCGGGGGAGAGCGGATATAGTGAACGCGGGGTCCGGGGGGAGAGCGGATATAGTGAATGCGGGGTCCGGGGGAGAGGGGATATAGTGAATGCGGGGTCGGGGGAGAGCGGATATAGTGAATGCGGGGTCCGGGGAGAGGGGATATAGTGAACGCGGGGTCCGGGGGAGAGCGGATATAGTGAATGCGGGGCCCGGGGAGAGGGGATATAGTGAATGCGGGGTCCGGGGACAGTGGATATAGTGAATGCGGGGTCCGGGGAGAACGGATATAGTGAATGCGGGGTCCGGGGAGGAGCGGATATAGTGAATGCGGGGTCCGGGGAGAGGGAGTGAGGGGATATAGTGAATGCGGGGTCCGGGGACAGTGGATATAGTGAATGCGGGGTCCGGGGGGAGAACGGATATAGTGAATGCGGGGTCGGGGAGAGCGGATATAGTGAATGCGGGGTCCGGGGAGAGGGGATATAGTGAACGCGGGGTCCGGGGAGAGCGGATATAGTGAATGCGGGGTCCGGGGAGAGGGGATATAGTGAATGCGGGGTCGGGGACAGTGGATATAGTGAATGCGGGGGGGTCGGGGGGGAGAACGGATATAGTGAATGCCGTTGCCGGCAGATCGGTTCTGTTGCAGCATACCGATCCTTAGATGTGGCGGCTGCATTAGTTTTTTTTTTTAGGATTTTTTTTTCCATTTTTCCACCTGGTGATCCAACAAGTAACAAACTTCCTGTCTTAGGGTGTCTCCACTCTGAATGGAGGAATAACGGAGACATCCTTGGGTATCAGCATTGTCAGGGGGAAAGGGGAGTGTTAGATGGACTAGCAGATTTAGATGAACTAACAAATTAAAGCTGAACCCCAGATAGCTCTTTATAAGCAAGTTACAGCAACAGGAATAAATGGGTGATACATGATGAAGCCCTTTGCGGACGAAACGCGTAGGGGGCGGGTGGGTGACGGGTAGGATCTCATGCTGTGGAATTGTGTCATTGAAATGAATTGATTTAAAAGCAATGTGATGTCGTCAGTGTGCAACCTGTTCCTTCCTCTTGATGGTTGTGGGGCGCTCCCGTGGGTGGACATCGACATGTGCCGAAAGGGGCTTGAAGGTTCCCATATGGAAGAAAAATATATTGTAAAAAATATTCTTCTGAAATATATTGACATATATTTGAAATGCTACAATTTTGGCCGTATTCAATATATTTAAAAAAAAAAAAAAAAATAATATATATATATATATACATACTGTATGTTAAAATGCGTTTTTATTAATTAAATTATTAAAATACATTTCAAATATCCTGTATGTCTTTAAAAATACAAATCTACATTTTTGGAAAGCATTTACAAATATATGTAAAAATATATGTTAAAATGACTTTTTTTATGTTAAAATAAAAAAAATCTAAAGAATATATTTAAAAAATATATATTTTTTAAAATATATATTTTTTAAATATATTCTTCAGATTTTTTTTTACAAATAAAAAAATCATTTTAACATATACTTCTAAATGCATTCCAAAAATGTAGATTTGTATTTAAAAAAACATACAGGATATTTGAAAATGTATTTTTAAGAATATTTTTCATACATCTTGTAATAAAATGCATTTCAACATGCAGTATATATATATATATATATATATATATATATGTGTGTGTGATATATATGTGTATATATATATATATATATATATATTAATTGAAATATATTTTTAAATATATTGAATACGGCCAAAATTGTAGCATTTCAAATATATTTTCCTTCCATGTGGGTTTGCTGCTGGTCCATCATGCAAGTAATGTCCTGCTTGGGATTTGAACCGATGGCCCCAGTCATTTTTTTTTTTAACTTCCTTTATTTTTCCCTTGTGATCTGCCAGTAACACACTTCCTGTCTTTGGGGTGCCTCCATTCCTGGATGGAGGAGCCATGGAGACACCTTTGGACATCAGCATTGTCAGCGGATTAACTTGACCAACAAATTAAGACCAAATGCCAACTAAACATTTTTTTTTAAAGCCGTTACAGAAACAGTTATTTTTCCTAAGGTTTTACATCAACACCTAAAAGCTGATCATGGTAAGCACCCCGGTCAGTGGTAAATGGTTTGTTTTAACCCTCTAACTGCCACTTTTGCTGGACAGCTTGGTCTGTTACGCCGGGTTCACACCTAAGCGTTTTCTGCAGAAATGCATTCCAGTCCATTGAACATGATTTCCTATGGGACGGGTTCACATCTCTGCGTTTTCTCTGCTGCGTTTTTTGGAAAGGGGCGGGGACTTTTTTGAATGCAAAAAGTTGCGTTTTTGTTTCTATAGATCTCAATGGAAACGCTTCAGCAAAGCACGTATTGCGTTTTTGCTGTGTTTTGATGCGTTTTGCATTTTTAATCTGCCTAGCAACAAGAAAAATAATAAAAATGAAAAAAAAAAAACGCATCAAAAATGCATCAAAAACCACAAGTGCAAAAACGCAAAACGCAATTCAGAAACGGCTCAAACGCAACCTGCACAGGTGTGAACCTAGACTTAATGGAAGATGAAAACTAACAGACCAAGGGCTTGTTCACACACATGGGATTGGGGGGGGGGGGGGAATCCCACAATTGAGTCATACTTTTACTCCCCCTCAACCGCTGCCCATTCTAGCTGCAAAGACAGTGGCCGGAAGGAACGCGACCCCCTGTTGCGTTCGGCGGGTGTAGTGCCCAGTGAACATGGCCCAACTCAAGTGCATGGGGCAGCTCTGCAACCTCATGGGGTTCCGGGTGTTAAAGCAGACGAAGAGGAATTGCTACAAGGCCTTCTCACCGCCTGTCTAATGCCCTCTGAAGAGCGATCCGATCGTGCCCGTACTGTGAACAAGCCCTTTCTGGCAGGATCACCGGGTGAAAATACAGGAAAAAAGCCTAAAAAAAAGAAAAAGAAAACTAACGCAGCCACCACATCGAAGGATTAGAACTCCAATGTAAAGACTTTTTTTTTTAGATTTGAACATTCTGCAAAGGATGTTGGGAGACCTCCGATGTGATTGCTAATATTCTTCATCATTTCTTGCAGTGAATTCCATACATCGGAGAGACGGACGGTGATGGGCACAGACTGTTCTGTGCTGTCAGACTCTGTCACCGTGGATTCTCCCTTCCTTGCAGCACCGCGGTGCAGGATTTGGCTCTCAGTACAACAATGGAGCAATATCAGATTGATTGACCCATTGCTGCCTTATGCTTGGAGTAGTGGAGGCTGATGAACCTGGAGTGGGGGTGATAAACCCAGAGTGGGATTTGATGAACCCGGAACAGTTGATGAACCCGGAATGGGGGTTGATGAACCCCGAACAGGGGTTGATGAACCCGGAGCGGAGGTTGATGAACCCGGAGCAGAGGTTGATGGACCCGGAGCGGGAATTGATGTGAACCCGGAATGGGGGTTGTTGAACCCGGAACAGGGATTATTGAACCCGGAGCTGGGGCTGATGAACCCGGAGTGGGGGTTGATGAATCCGGAACGGGGGTTGTTGAACCCGGAACGGGGGTTAATGAACACGGAACAGGGGTTGTTGAACCCGGAACGGGGGTTGATGGCCGCAGAGTGACGGACGGATCGCACCGGGTGAATTCTTGGCCTAGAAAAGCCTCGCCCACCTCATGGAGCTTTGTTCACCTTTAGGCATCTGGTTACCCTGGGCCTGGACTGGATGGGGCTTCACTGAGAGCAGATCTGGTGCCACACCGACTACACATCACATTCTGTGTATACCGGGAACTGTTACAGGAAATGCCATCTGCAGTTCACACAGCGGCTATGTTTATTCATAGTAAACCTGGTTTCAAGCAGTTATTGTAGCAACTGCCAAAATGTAAGATCTGTGCTACCAGTCTTATAATAATAATAATAGTGCCCCATCATTGGTGTCAGTGGGAGGAATAGTGCCCCATCATTGGTGTCAGTGGGAGGAATAGTGCCCCATCATTGGTGTCAGTGGAAGGAATAGTGCCCCATCATTGGTGTCAGTGGGAGGAATAGTGCCTCATCATTGGTGTCAGTGGGAGGAATAGTGCCCCATCATTGGTGTCAGTGGGAGGAATAGTGCCCCATCATTGGTGTCAGTGGGAGGAATAGTGCCCCATCATTGGTGTCAGTGGGAGGAATAGTGCCCCATCATTGGTGTCAGTGGGAGGAATAGTGCCCCATCATTGGTGTCAGTGGGAGGAATAGTGCCCCATCATTGGTGTCAGTGGGAGGAATAGTGCCCCATCATTGGTGTCAGTGGGAGGAATAGTGCCCCATCATTGGTGTCAGTGGGAGGAATAGTGCCCCATCATTGGTGTCAGTGGGAGGAATAGTGTCCTATCATTGGTGTCAGTGGGAGGAATAGTGCCCCATCATTGGTGTCAGTGGGAGGAATAGTGCCCCATCATTGGTGTCAGTGGGAGGAATAGTGCCCCATCATTGGTGTCAGTGGGAGGAATAGTGCTCCATCATTGGTGTCAGTGGGAGGAATAGTACCCCATCATTAGTGTCAGTGGGAGGAATAGTGTTCCATCATTGGTGTCAGTGGGAAGAATAGTGTTCCATCATTGGTGTCAGTGGGAGGAATAGTGTCCCATCATTGGTATCAGTGGGAGGAATAGTGCCCCATCATTGGTGTCAGTGGGAGGAATAGTGCCCCATCATTGGTGTCAGTGGGAGGAATAGTGCCCCATCATTGATGTCAGTGGGAGGAATAGTGCCCATCATTGGTGTCAGTGGGAGGAATAGTGCCCCATCATTGGTGTCAGTGGGAGGAATAGTGCCCCATCATTGGTGTCAGTGGGAGGAATAGTGCCCCATCATTGGTGTCAGTGGGAGGAATAGTGCCCCATCATTGGTGTCAGTGGGAGGAATAGTGCTCCATCATTGGTGTCAGTGGGAGGAATAGTGCCTCAAGGGCCAGATAAATGCCAACAAAGAGCAACATTTGGCCCGTGGCCCGCAGTTTGGTGACCACTACCTCACCAGATCGAACGTTACAAAATATAGATATACTTGAACGAATGAACAGATATCTGCGTTCTATGGGGCCTCTGATGCCTCCACACGGTGTAGCCATCAACCTTTGTACCCGCTAAAGCCGGATGTGATCAGCATTGCGACAACTCCGGACGCTGCGCCGGTACGGTCACTCCGAGGCCCCGCCATGGCACGGCTTCCCCTCACTCTGCCATTTGCAAATCGGCCCCGGAGCGTCGGCTCGATCCATCCTTTTCCAAAGCGTAGCCGTAAAAACAACAAAACGGCGCCGGGGATTGGCCAGCCCATCAAACGCGGGATATGAAAGCGTCAGGCGAGCCCATCACCCCACGTCGCAGCGCTGGATATATGAAGCATTAAAAAAACCGAGCCGGCGTCTCCTGGAGGATCTAATGAGGATGGATACAGTCCGGTATGAATCAACAAGACACACAGCGCAGTCCCATTAGTCTGCTGACTAGGTGTCATTATGAGCTCCGGAGAGGCGGAAGGATGAAGGATGGCTCGGCTCCGCACAGATGCACGAGATGCATATGAGGTTGAATCCTCCAGGATATCGGAGCCATCAATCCATTCAATGGAGGCATTACCTCTTCCTCCATCTATATGCATCAATGGCATCCATGAGATATACACAGTTCCAGCCACCGAAACATCGGTGACATTTATACTGCGCATTGTC